ATAGTAAGTGTCACGGTGTCGGAATTGTGCGTCTGCACTACCAAACTATCCACACGGGATAAATAGAATCCTTCTTGAGAAACCAGGCGGCAAGGACGCGCTGGAGATTAATACCATTCACGACGCCATTGAGTCTGCAAGACGTCATCAGAATAGAAATGTGCGTGTTTCTATAGCCTATAATAGAAGGTTTTACAGTTCTGTTCTGATGGCACGTGAAATGATCAAACAAGATGGTGGCGTCAAGTCTTTCGTGTTCGAGTTCACAGAGTGGTCGCACGTCATTTCCGCTCTGCCTCACTCTGATATAGGTAAGATTGTCTTTTTATGACCGATACTCACTCCTACATATTTTACTTATTTAATCTTAATCTTTGTGAGCAAGTCAAAAAGTCGGGAAAGTCATTTAAGCTCTACAGTTAATTAGACACACACAACGAAATACGTATCAACTCTCGTCTTTAGTCGGTCAGTCGAGTACTCTATAAGACACAGCGCCCTGGGGAAAAGTCCCCAAGACTATTTCAAGGCTGACCCAAGACTCCGTCTCTCGTGGTGTTCTCGCCAAGACCAACTAAAAACTCTTGTATTCACTTTCAAGAAGAAAAGAAGTTAAAAGACTCTATGGCGTGGCCTTCACACATTCAACTTGCACATAGCCAATCACACTAAGTACTGAATACGTCATATATTTTGATTAATCGTTCACTATATTACTAACTGCGAATACCAACTGTCGGAAATAGTAGTACGAATAGCGACGGTTATATCGTAATTAGTTCCAAATCACTGAGTCGAGTTCCATCCAGGACCTTGCATGAGCCTAAATGATGACAGATATAACACAGCCATTCACTAGTAATCAGCTTAATAAGTCATTCAACAGATACGCGAAAACTAATTCATGACATTACTAAGTATGTGATTTCATTGGGGTTTTACCGCGACGTTTACTCACTCCGCTATTGTACAATTACGCTGCAAACATGTTCATTATTTCCAATTATCATATCATACAGTACAGTGTGTAGGAATGTGGCCAGGCATATATGGTGTCAAATTAAGCATACTTGTTGTTACTGTGATCACAACAATACACATATAAATGAACATAGACAAACATATACACATTGGTACGATTAAATAAAAATTGAAAATACGCACAGCAAATATATATATTTTTATTAGGGAAACTCTATAGATGTCCCACTTCTACTGCAGGTGAATTAACTAACTTATTGCAGATACCATCCTTGTATTCATGACAACTTAAATAAAATAACTCATCTACAAGTGTTTTTTATTCATACATTGCTAGTTAAAAGTAGCTGGTTTCTTGCCAATAGCAGTCATATTCTCGATTTAGCCTTTTTTATGGGAGGCCAGCCACGGACCATCAAATGCTTCAATAGTGGTAAAGGTGATGTAACTTGGCACCCGCAGGCATCGACTTGGGTTGGATCAGGTATTACGGACAGCAATGCACTATTTTCCTACCATGCAAACTGGGCAGGACCTGGTAGATGGTGGCTAGAGGTACGGTTTGTTATTATTACATCGATCATGTGTCACAATGTGTAGTTGAACATTGTGGGTCGCAAACATAATCATGAGTATACTTGGGAACATGTAAACAAGTCAGTAATAAGTGATATATATTAAATATAATATCTGCTTCTGCTCTTACCATAATTAATTAGAAAAGTTCACAACTTTCACATAAAAGCTTATCTTTCATATAAAAATGACGACAGAAGAGTTTGATAAACAAAATAACAGTAAATAAAATAATTTAAATCCCAGCAAATAACACAAATCGTGACACAACACATTTCGAAACACCTGGTACATGTACCAATGTCATCTAAACTCCGAGTAAGTAGTTGAAAATTGAAATAGATCAGTAAACACCTTAAATAGTTGTTCGAGTGTAATTTATAACTATCATAATTATATCTTGTAATTTCATTTTAAGAAAATTTTAAGTTTTTACTCAAAATTTTGCAAATTTGTCCAAATTTTCTAAAGAAAAGTGGAGATTATAAACGGGACTTTTTTGTGAATTTGTGGTGAAAAGGTAAAATCTCTAAACACAATTGCAGTTGCAGATAGAGTAATAGTCTTGTTTAAAGAAAAATATGTTTAAACAAAATATTCATATGTACTGTAAACATGATAAACTGTTTGCCTTAATGAATCCAATACGAGTATACGTCTTAGCTAGATTTTAAGGTGTCGTTTTCAATCAATCATTTGATGCAGTGTTTTCGCCTTGACATACCCTTCTTGTTGCTGCTATACAGAACTATTTAAATAATTAATATAATATTTATATAAAATAACATAACATAATGATCTACACATAATGTGATGACAACACAATCACCGGGAGACAGACATTATTCATTTATTTATTCATTGAAAACCTGTCACGTATGATCCATAACAGACGCGTAAAAGGTTAGACAATATAAAAAAAGAACGCAAAACAAATTACAAAGGCAAAAACATAATAACAATGTTACAAATGGCACATTTAATAAAATCGCTAAAAAAACACTGTCACCCAAGATAAAATAAACATTATTCTGATATTACTAAAAACGAGCTACACCTACAACTATTAAAATTACACATTCATACATAGCAAGCACTGTTTTGAACATCACGCTGTATTTGGTGTTGTTGGGTTCGATTGTGAATTTATCACTACCACGATTTTCTTTACAGAATTTACCGAGTTTTTCTAAAATTAATATGAAACATATCGACGCTTATTCATTGTGATATATCGGGCAATTTCCTATTTTTTCTCAAAGGTATTCGTGTATTACTATATTAAATTGGAACATAACTCCCGTAATAAGATATAAAGGTACAAGATCTCATGAAAGATAGAAATAAAATATATATAAAAAACAGACAGGAAAACATATCAATGTATTGAATATGCTGAAAAAAAATATTTACACGATAGTCATTAAATATAATACCAACAATTAAAATTCAAAAACGCATACTATGAACCACTATACTGGATGCACTTCACAGATTGTGACTACCAAGAATAGATACATATTCCGGCCACTTGAAAAGCTTCACATAACTCGCCTAGGATCCGTGAAAATAGAAGAAGTTGAAATTGATGACAGTCTGGACAAGAATTTCAAACCAGGGCTGTGGCGACAAACGAAAGTTCGTTATTTTCATTTTACCTACGTATTGGTGAAACACTGTATGCGTGTACGTATGTAGGTCTGTATGTACGCAGTTTGTCTGTATTTATACATGGAAGGTACTAACGGAAGGAGCCACGACGCCAATCAAGTGGCCACTTAAGCCTCTTAACTGGCTTATTTCCTTTTGTTTCAACCCAAATTAATCCTGATAAGGTTATTTTCTAGCTCATCTTTGATGTCCATGATAGTTTGCGATTGTTTACACAAGTAACGAGTTAGCGGAGTATGATACAACCCCGCCATTTTTTTAATGTGACTATAAAATATATGCGCATTATGAAACTACGGTCATCACACATGCGCACTGGGTTTGTTTAGGTCAAAATACGTATTTCACAACCGGAAATTCAACTGATGAACGTTTGACTTCACAAATTTCCCATGTTTTAAATATTAGCAACTGTAACTAGAACAAGATTTCGAGTGCGTACAACAACAATTCCTAAGGACTCCTAAGAAATATTATCACAGAGAATATGTCGAGGCATGCTCTTCTTTCGATATTATTTTTCTGTTGGTGTTCGCCGATGTCCGGTGGTCAAAACACAATCACATCTCACTTCCTCCTCTCAATCTTTGATTCACATCATTCTGATAATACAATCACATCTCACTTCCTCCTCTCACTCTCTTTGATTCACATCATTCTGATAATACAATCACATCTCACTTCCTCCTCTCCGTCAAAAATGTTGACAGTTTCTGGCGCCAAACCCACGCACTGGCAATGGTACCATTGAATAATGCAATCGTCACAAGCAATCATTGATTAACTCTCATTACCATTACAAATACAAAATTCACGATATTTCATCAGAGTTTCTTCAATCAATGTTATATCTGACAATTTTCCATAAAGTTCGCCATTTTCAATATTGTACATGCGAGGTACGACTATCGCTTCCGAACGTGCTCCGAATATTACCGAATGCTCGAGATTAGCATAACCCATTGTACGAAGGTGTTAAAAGCTAACAAGAACAATGACAAACGATCATGGGGTAAAGCTAAAACAATAGCGTCGTGGCTCCTTCCGTTAGTACCTTCCATGATTTATATATGTATATACCAACATATGCAAACAGACAGAATATTGAGTTTATCGCCTAACGCACGGCGAGGGTCGATGCGATCATGTAATACCCGAGTACAGTAACAACTGTTACTTGAAACTTAAGACTGAGGGTGAACATTAGTTGAACTTTCGCTATAAATTTTCGTTTTAAACATCATGGATATATCGGGGTAATAGGCCTTATTTGGAATTTGTATTCCCTAATGCAGAAATGGTATATAAGTGAATGAAAAATTCACATATACGAACAAATGAATGTTTTTTTATTAGAGAAATAAAGAATTTCGATTCAATATTGAACATTCTGTCTTAGCACAATGTTCTTAAAAAACTAACTGCATAGCATTTACCTCATTTGCTTAAACGATATTACGTATGTATTTCATCGTTATGTCGTTTGTGTTTTCTAGTAGTTTATAAGAATGATGCTGTTACATTGAGCGATAAATATATTTCCACAAACGCCGTCATGTACCCCTATCTGTATACCTTGTTAGTGTTGGTTACATTTCAGTATGATTAAGTGTAATGTTTTGTTATGTTGTATGTTATAACTAACCTATGCAAGATTTTCTACGGAGATACATATTTACCTTTTTCTTGTAATTTCTTATTTACCAGACATTTTTAGAAGATCCCGATCATATCGATTTACTGTCCTTGGAGAAGCACTTGCACCACGTGACTTCAATCTACGAGCCGATTCGTGGATTCCCTGATAAGGTTGTCGACCAGGCAACGTCTTCTGTTCTTATAATAGGTAAGAAGTATAATATTAACTAGTTAACATCAGTGATTCCATCTTGCGCGTGTTATACCTTAGTATGTACGTAATGGATAACGGTTAAGAGACATGAGCTTTATTTGGTCGATGAAACTGTTATATCTTCGTATATCGTATTAATTTAATATTAATTAAATGTAGTTGCTATATGTTGGTGGTTTTCCGCGTTAAACGTGCGTGCATTGACGACGATTGTTATAAAACACTTATTTCCCGTTCTGGTCATGTCTTCTACTAAACCTACAGTGTGACACTCCGCCCTATACTTCCAAAATCCATTTTTTGTTCGAGGTATATATTGCAAGATTCGTGTATTATCTACCAGTCCAATAAATGCAACGTATACATCGAGGTGCAAACCCATTCTACAGCTTTTAGTTATGTTTGTTTTATATATATATCTGTCTTTAGGTCTTGGTAACATAGGATCAAGGCACCTCCAGGCATTGGCGAAAATGGAGTTTGCTGTTGACATCACGTGTGTTGAGATACGCGGGTGCGTTCACTTATTATAAATACTATATCATACTTATTTCTGCATCAAGCGTTCAAACTTCCATTAGGATAATGTAGAACCATTTCAACCATGCATTGACCTTCTACAGACAGAAGCCAAGAGTTCCGTCCTCTTGGTGGGTTATCTGCTTACGCGCGTTTTTCTTTTCTGCTACTTGTTCTGTGCTCTTAATGTTTTAGTTTTCCCTTGGAATTTGGGAGGGTGAGGTTATCCTGTGCCACAACTACCTCCATGTCAACCTTGGGCACACTGAACGCGCGGGTGAACGCGGTGCTTTTTAGCGCTCCCCGAATTATTACAGGTTTGGCCTCACGACTTAGTCGTGTCGGTTTTCAGCTTTATTGGACATGTCCTGGGTAAGACGTTAAAATTGCATCCGGTTGTGGAGTTTTTGTACTTGGGAGAATGAGGATTCCCTTTGCCACAACTACCTCCAGGTCACCCTTGGGCAAGGTGTAGTACCTGTCAGCCTTGGGTGCCAACTTCCCACATAACAAGTTTGGTTGACGTCAGTAAGGGCATACGGTCATACAAGCCTTGCACCAACTCAGCCTCACGTGTGAGGTATTACCTATTAATGGCAACGTTTACGTTTATTTAAATATGTATATATGTGTCCTGGGCAAGATTTTAAACTACATCCGGCTGTGGAGTCTATGGACGTGGGAGAATGAGGTTACCCTTTGCCACAACTACCTCCAAGTCACCCTTGGGCAAGGTGTAGCACCTGTGAGCCTTGGGTGCCAACTTCCAACATAAAAAGTTTGGTTGATGTCAGTAAAGGCACACGGTCGTAAAACTCCTGCACAAATAGATCAGCATAGGTGGACAATGTTTCATGTAAATATGTATATATTAGTTTCAGTTGTTCTTAGCATTTGGCAGGGGGGATCGTAACCTCTTGTGGTGAGAACCAGTGTGACTGGCCTGCCAACGGGGTGCTAAGGATTTCATTGGAAAAGTTATCAGTTACATCCGTTAATGTTTTTTTCGTTTTACATACAAGTACATCAAAAATCATGTTCCTACAATGTTACATCTCCACGACAGAAAAAAAAATCAAACTAAACAATAAACACATTGCAAATTAAAATTATCTACTACATCTTATTATTTATGCTCACTTTCAAAATAAAAGAACTTGCAAATACGCAATAAACGAGATTCGAACTTTCTGCAATGGAGTTCAAATTCAGTGGGTTGTTTTAAAACCATTTGCCAATAAATATATTTGTATAATAGAATTACTCAGTCCAGGTAAAAAAAGTGCCAATGTCCAACGAATTAATTAATATGTAGATCTGTAATACAGATTATTAGGAATGTGTTTTTTTATTTAATTACTCCTGGCACTTTTAGTATTATTTAGGGGTTATATTTGTGCCTAATTTGCATATAATTCATACATATTGGTTACTTTCAGAGCATCACTGGAGCGTGCTCGAAAAATATACGAGGCAGAGCCGAAGATTCACCCTCAACCGACGGTGAAGTATTACAAATCCGTTGTTGATATTGTGAAAGGAAAGACATTTGATATTTGTATTATTGCAACATGTTCTGATGTTCGGAGAATGAACATTGAGACTGTACTGGAACGATTTAAAGTCAAGTACATGATCCTAGAAAAGGTGAGTAATATTTACACATTTGCTGGACGCTGACGAAACTAAAAAAACGTTGGAAACCATAGCGAAAATGAAAACGTAAATAAACACTAACATGTTCTAGTCAGCTTATTTTCAAAAAATACCCAACATTTTCCATGATGTTTACGGGAGAGTAAATTTGTCGTCGTTTCTCATCAAATGTATTCGTTTATATTGTTATATGTAAATGCGATTGGTTTATATCTTATAATACGTTTAAGGTAAGGAATCAGATATGTTTCCGCCTCCTTGGACGATATCATGATATCTGCTAGTGTGAATATTTATGAGTAACCTCGATTGTTGTCACTAGAATGTGTCTTACATAGCACATATTTTGGTCACTAATTCGTTAGGAATCTATATACAGGTCTTGTTTCAAACTGCAGATGATCATTTTAAAGTACGTGATTTGTTGGTAAAGCACGGTGTCCATGCATATGTAAATGCTCATTGGGGTGCATCGCCCATGGGACGCTATGTCAAACAAAATATGAAGGTAGGTTAAATGCACATAAAAAGCGTGAAATCATATTTTGTCGTTGTGTTATGATAATAATATTATTTTGGGGGAATTACATAAGTGTTGTTTTTAATGATCTAAAACTTGACTTTAAATTATAGGCTACCTTCATGTCAAAAAGTGACCCAAAATTACAAGCTTAGTTTTTCAAATTGTTTCTGGTCCACATAAATATTACATGACATTGCATAACTAAATTCAAACCAATTTTGCTTTGCACTGCCATGGCAGAGAGATGGCAGACGTAATACCAATTTGTACGAACGTGACCTGACTTTCTGTATAGATTTATAGGTTTCTCGTGCCAAATATCGTAGATAAATTGTATTGCAAGAAGCAGCATTTTCATTTTTTAGCGCATAGCTGAATCCATAACAACATTGATTTGTGCAGTACCATCATATCAATCACTATGATATATATGCAAATACACTAACAATAACATCGCGAAACTGGCGACGAGAGTGAGCGAGATCGTGCACGAAACGTGAAGGATACGAGAGCGGCGAATGTGCGCACTCTTTAATTTCGTTGCATACGCAAATATTTGATATTGGGATTTCTGGCGAATAACGAACAATATGATTTGTCGAATTATTGAATAAAAATATATCTAAAAATAATAAGTGTTGAATAAATTCTGCGTTTAATTTTTTTATTTTTTTTTTGCAACGTACCGAATGAATTTTAATCAACAATGTTGAATGCGTTGTCATAGAACGTGCTAAAGTAAACAAGACGTCATCTCGTGGTTTTATTACTAAATAGTTAATCTGTTTTTATGGAACCTTTTAATACATACATGTGATGGTTTTATTATAGGAGCCCGTCAATTTACATGTCCAAGGTAATGGATGGGGACTGTGCTGTAATGCAATTCATCTTCTACACTACGCTATGTTCTTGAATAACAGTAAAGATGTGACGTTTGGAGAATGTCGTTTTGACCCTGGTTATGAAGAATGTAAACGTCCTGTAAGTTTATGTGATTTTATAAAACTTTAAATATATAGGGGTTAGGTATAAGCAGTATTCACACTCATGTGGGGATTCCATTACATATTTATTATCACAATGTTATGTTATGCGATTTTTTGTATTAATAGTATGCGTGAGTTTATCAATGTATTGTAGTAAAGTTCGTTGGAGAGGATTGAAAGCGTTGTTGAATTTTCGTCGAGAAATTGTTTCACTTATTGTGTCGAAAAATCCAACATTCCTGTAAATCGCGCCCTTCAAAAAAACTGCAGAACTATTGTCGATTTTCAACGACATTTATTTATATACGTCATGTTGACGTCACAAAACCGCTTCGCCACTAGGTGACACAAATTATAGGAATAGTGTATTGTTATATTTTACTAGGGATTCTTGGAACTATACGGTTCACTGGTTGGTACGATTAAGACTTCTAGCAGTGACGCCAAATTCGAGATAGTGTGTAAACCTGGTGATCCAATGATCGAAGGGAGGGTCGTCAAATTGTCAAACAAACATGGAAAGTCAGACTGGAGCGAGCGTACGGTACGTATTGATTTTCAATCGGGATTAATGCTTTGTCAATATTTGATCTTCATATTATGATTTCTTTCTGAAAGTCACTAAACGTTAGCTAATGTAAATATACGTATTATTCTGTGCGTGATACAAAAGCAAGGAATCTCATTCAACAACAAGAATTAACGTGGCATCTGATGTGATCTCTTTTTTAAAATATATCTCTTCAATTTACAGGGAATACTTTGCTCCAACTTTAGTGATTTTACTGCAGGATTGGAAAATAAATCGTTTGTTTATCCTCTAATAAGCAATTGGACACATATACATGTAAGAACTTCATTTCATAGATTCAACTATTTAAGGGGTTTAATGCAGTTTGGAGATTGGAGTTTAAGGTGAGGTAATCAGTGGGAACATATATACGTATATGCATGAATGTGTATGTACTCTGTGTAAAAATATTGTTTAGGTTTAGTAATTAACACTGTTCTTATATATTAAAATACACTACAATAATTTGTTGAAGTGCTTAAGCATCATCCAGCAACAACGACGCAACAAAAACTTAATTGTTTAATTGTCCTCATTATTGAGGGGTTGTTATATAATTGTTTAGAAATGCAATCCTTCAAATGTGGGTGATGCAATATTATATTGTGAGTTTGCAGAGGACCCCCGTGTTCGTTATAAATGCCTTGTCACATTGTACTTTTATTTAGATTCAATCCACACCAAATGGCTCATTTGGGCCTTAATTCTTCAAACACGATAAAACATATGTGAAATTCATTATATTCATATACAATATAAAAAAGTCTTAGATATATTCAACACTAGTACGTTTATATTTCCCATTCTTTTATCTGTTTTTAACTGTTGATCTAGGTAAAACATCTACTGGAGACTGGTGTGTGTGATTTACCAAACTACGAAGATTTGTACACAGTTTCCATGGCATTGAACAACGTATTTATGACTCATCTTCGCAAAGAGGGGAATACACAAGCCGAGAATGGAATTTGTCCAATTACGTAGTGTTATAGTTTTTATTCTTGCCCATGAGTTATTACACTCAATATATACATTTTGAATTTCTCGTAGCGCTAGTTGTTGTTACTGTTAATATTGTGTGGTTTTACTACACTTCGCATGCTTGTAATATTGTGGCTGTCTATCGCACACATTCGATCAGGTTCAAAAACTGCGAGCACTGTGTTTGTGTAGTGGTGACACAAGTAAGAGACTATGGTAGACTATATTTAAACATCATTTATATAGAGTTATTCTTATTTACAACTCGGATTTCAAAATTGGGGGGGGCACTGTAATTGGTTTGCCATGTGAGAAGATCACTATTAAATATACATTGCGACTCAATCCGCTGCAATGTTGCAACTTCTTGCAACCATTACATAAATGACTTCTAACGGATATATCTCAGTGAATGAAAAATAACAATTACAATTGAAATTAACAACAAATATGAATGAATCAAGAAATACACACGTGAATAAGCATCCACGATAAATATTTCGTTCCCGGCTTTACGAAGTTGACATTTCCAGTCTACCCTACTCAATTTTATATAAATATATATTCTAAACATTTATGATGAATCACGAAAAAAATATTAAGTATAATGTATTACAACACATGTATGGCATAAAGTATGCATAATATCGATCTTAGTCAAAAAAATAAATGTATTGAGACAGAGACGGTTAATTAGGACATCCCATAAAAGCAGGGCTAGGTGAACCCGATAGTAGATTATATTGAACAACGAATTGAAAGTTTAAGTATTTGTTCTATTAGATATGTAATCCACTGTCGGGTCAACGTGTCGCACATATTGCAAGTCAGGTGGATCAACAGATCTATGTACCATGTGCTACTGGTGTCTTGAATTATTCAGACTAACATTAGTATGGAAGAATAGGTGTAGTTATATTAGGAAATTACTCATCTGTTATTGGATTTTTTTTCATGCATTGGCAATTCAACTTTATGCTTGCTGTTTGAACTTGTAGAAAAATGCGTCAGTGATTGAGAATTAAATAAATATATATTATAAAACAATCATATTGTGCAACGATTACAATGATTGAATATGTTATATGACGTAACTAAAGAATGTACCTTGATCTCACCAGTTATGTCTGGTTAATGAAATAAAAACCGTTCAATCTAAGGCTAATCTAATTTCCAACACGTGTGTGTGTGTTATCATTGTTATAATTTCAATATCATATTTTATATAGATCGCCTTTGCAACATGTATTCATTCTCATCATTAGGAATATGTTTGCAGCCATCAATATATGTTTAATTTAAAGCCATTAATATGTTCAGGGGTGGACTTTAGTTTAAATAAAATTGCTGGGCTTTACACAATCCGTGAGAAATGCCTACCAGAATGAATGACATTGTCGTGAGTAGACAAGTTGGTCAAATTAGAAGTGGTAATGTAATTTAAAACTCAAATACGTTAATTTATCAGATATGAATAACAATATCAACAAATAGTAATTTTAGGCACATATGTCCAATAAATTTACTCAGTTGATTTGCAGAGACACATTTGATGCAAAGGTGGGAACATTTTTTCTCTTCGGTTGTTGCCATGTTAACGGCGTGACAGGAATTTTTTCAGATTATTCTATCAAGTAGCGTGCAGATGTGACCTGCCAGTCAAGCTTGATATGTGGACTGACGTATTGAATATGGGAGCAATCCTGGCGGATTGCCAACAAAACAGAATAATAATAATCGAAGTTACAAGCGTATTATTCCTTTTTGTCTAAAAGTGACAACGTGCTCACAGTGAAATATATCAACTTTATCTCGTGCTCACCGCAGAGCAAAAATTTCGAAAACACAAAACGAGTTTCTGGAATTTATTACACGAAACAATACCAACAAAAGATTACAATGTACATGTCAATACAGGACTCACTTAATTATAGTCATAATATATGCTTAAAGCAGGCAAGATGCAAGTTCCGTCATGTTTGGATGTTCAATCAGCATGTCGGGAAATGGTATTTTTTCCGTCATAATACTTAATGTATCAGTAGCAGCCAGAGAATGAGAATCAGAACTCGATAGTGGGAAATTTGTACGGCATCATCAGGTACGTAGTTATGAACGGTTTTATCTGATACCCCGATCTGAGCTTTAAACTGATCAATCGCACACAGAAAGATATTTGTTCGTGGTTTTGACCAAATTACTCACATTTTTGAAACACGTTAATCAACAGAACGGTAAAAATCAGCTTCATTTTTTCCCCCAATCATATATGTCACGATGTTTCTCAGAGCTGTAATATTTCTACCCTGCAGTCTATACCGCGGCCAAAATGTCATTTTCCCATCATCTACGCATTGTGGGCAGGATATTATTTATTACGCTAATAATTATTTGCCTTTTCGTTGAACCCCGGTGAACAACGTACGTTATATACTTTCCAACGACGCAAAATGGCTCTATTGTTTAATCCCCAATTTAGTATAAACACCTCAATATCAGCAAATCCCCTCGACTTGGTCATTTTGAGCCGACTTCCAGAGGGATAGTCGGTACTCTATGCCATGTATCCATCATTTTCAGAATAAAGCACCACAATACTACCCTTTGACCGTCAATTTCGATTCGGAATTCAGACAATACAGTAAATACAGCGAAATATTAGTATGTGGGTTGTGTTGTGTTATAACATACAGATGGAAGGGAGCCACGAGCGACTTGTTTCCAATGAAAACGTATAGCAAATTAAGTAATCGTCGTTATAGACACATGATTTACAAAAACGGGTTTCGAACGAGAGAATCCGCTTGTAACGGCTAGAAAAGTCGCTATACCTAACGGCATCTGCTGTTATATCGTGTGTCCATTGATAATAAGGTGAGTACGCGCATGCTATGTTCAGTTATTCATAAGCACACTCTCTAATGGAACGAGCGCGCTATAATGAAATGGCTTGAACTAGGTCTATTTGAGTTAAAGTGGACCTCCTCATTATCATAACTGCCGTTATGAGTAGGTTCAATTTCCGCCAACAGTAATAACGTGGTCAAACTATATCTACTTTTGTTTAAAGTGAACATCCTCATTATATCTACCGGGAGTACAATTCATTACAAATTGATATCGACATGGTTTTTGACCATTTATGAGTAGGATCAAACTAATGTAAATCTCATCCTATTTATTTGTAGAAATAATGGCTCGACTTATCGTCAAGAAAAAACTTCTTTTTCTTTTGGTTGTGTGTATAGCAACTACTGTATTGTTCGTTGCACGAATGCACGAACCTCATCTGCGACTACTAGAACATTCACTGACATCAAGTGTACATGGTGGTGATAGACGATCACTTCAACTGAGTGAACTCATCGATCTTGCACGAAGACAAAATATAGCTGTCAGTTATCCAAGTGGTCTGGTTCCGAATAACAATTTGTCAGTATTCCCGCCTGTCATACAGGGTGCGATGCTTCACATCAACGAGTCTAAACACTTTTAGTGAGTAGTTTTATTATTTAGTAATTCTACCTCTTACGTTGCTTATAAAAAAAACACACAACACAGAGATTAATCTCGGGCACCACGGAGCTATACTCACTGATTATAAATAGTCAGATCGAATATCTATAATACATATACCCACATAGTGATGAGATGAAATACATAAACTCTATAAATATCGAACATCACAAGCAAAATTCTAAAAAATAGAGTTTTAAATTCAAATTACATTATCCAGTGTAGATTGAAAATTGGTGTAAAATATAGACATATATATATATGTATTGCAAACACTCCACATTTCGTTATGGATTCATACCTAAACAATCTACCATTTAAAAATGTGTTATATGAAATTTGTGTTTGTTTTGTTTTTTAGTAGATGTCTGCGACCATATATCCACACACGATAATATTGTCGGATAATATTGTTTTATCGAATCTAGAGTTCACGTGTTCTATATTTATTTTTCAGTGGTTCAGGACTTGAGAGCCAGCAGCCAGTAATTGAACCAACAGTTGTGACCAGGTCGTCTCCCAATGAGACGTGTCGGAGACATAACAACGTGGTATTTTTGAAGACACACAAAACAGGAAGTGACACCACATCTCAGATATTTGTACGTTTTGCTGACACACATAATTTGTCAATTGTCCTACCGACGGAGACATGGAATCTTGGGTGGCCTTCTACGGTTCGTGAAAAAAAATACATACATTCTAAAGACAATGCCAAGTTTAATATTTTGTGTTTGCATTGTGTGTATAATAGAAACGCCTTTGATAATATAATGGCAGATGGGACGAAGTATGTCACTATATTACGTAATCCATGGAATCAGTTCAAATCGGCATTCAATTATTTTGGATGGAGCAAGCTTGTTGAAAAAGAAAATGAAAATACTACACAATATTTAGAAAAGTTTCTTGAACATCCAGGACGTTTCTACAAATGGGAGAATGAGACGACCCGTGTATACATGAGGAATTTCATGTCGTTTGACTTAGGATTGCCTCCCACGCAATATGATGATGTAAACGCCATCATGACATTTGTAAAAATGAGAGAAAATGAATTCGACCTTGTGATGATTTTGGAATACTATGACGAATCCTTGATTCTCTTAAGACGAATGTTGTGCTGGAAATTGCGAGATATACTCTATATACCGATTAACGTTAGTAAAAAGACTACACATGTTCAACCGTATGCCGAACAGTTATATCGTCACTTCAGTCAGGCTGATTTCACCCTATACGAACACTTTAAGGAAATATTCCTACAACGTCTTAAAAAGTCGCCTTCACTATCTGAGGAAGTCACCTATTTCCGGCAGATAAACAGCGATTACAAACTGTTCTGTACACAAGCTGAGAGAAACAGTTCGATGAAATTTGAGGTAAACAAATCGGACTGGAATGATATGTTTCAAATCGATTCTTCCTACTGCACCAAATCAAGATTGCCAATCACAGCATACGTAAGCGAGTTAAAACAAAAACATTATGGTATAGACACAGTTAGAACAACACATCTATGGCGTATACCATGAAACAGTGCTCACCCAAACGTGTGAGAAGACAGTACCTAAGTTTACCCAAGGCCGTTAGATTCAATGAAACTCTTACCCTTGCATGTTAGCGTGTTATTTAATTGGCTGTACTAATTTTACTAACTGTTTTGGGAACATTAAACTGTTACATTGTGAGAATATATCATCTATATTATTGTGTCGCAACATTAATTATATTATTTGTTTGCTGTTATTGGAAATGTACTTTATTAAAGGTCAGAATTTGAAACTTAATTTGGGTGAGTGTGTCCCAAAACAAGTGGTAACCAATATAAAAGTTGTCATTACTTTGTGATAAGCTTGTTCCCAATTATAAACACTTGTTTATAATCTGTTAATGGCACATAACACATTATGATAATTGTTTTCAATTGAAACACGTATTGAAAAGTGTTTCTATCAAGAACATGTTAAAAATGTGGTTATTATCACAACACTTTTAAAAGTGAATTTATTACACATACACATTGTAAGGTGTTTAAACCAGGAACATGTATAAAAAGAGTTTATTGTCATAACACTTTTAAAAGTGATTATTCTAAACATACATGTTGTAACGTATTTCCACCAGGAACTAGTACAAATGTACATGTATAAATGTTTACTATCACCACTCTTTGAAAAGTGATTTCACTAGGCACAAATTTTGTAAAGGTTTTCACCAGAAATATGTATTGAAAAAAAGGTGTTTATCATCGCAACACTCTGAAAAGTAAAACACAAACTGAATATTGACAATTTAAAATGTGTTTACACTGATAAAATGGTAAATAATCATTAACATTATAATTTTTGAAAACAAAATATATAAAATGATGTGTTTCATGATGAAGCACTTTGCACTATTGTACAATGTTTCCACCAGAATATGCTTGAAAATATGTTTAATATCGCAGCACTTTGAAAAATACTTGCACGCAAAACACAAATTGAATTTTGACCAGCGATTATAATAGATTCTATTTCAAGCATGAACAAGCACTTTGCGCTATTGTACAACAATTATGACCCTCTTCCCATGTTCAACAAGATTCAAAGGTCAACATTTGAAACATAGTTTGGGTGAGTGTGTCCCAAAACAAGTGGTAACCAATCTAAAAGTATTCATTATTTCAAATTGAGATAAGCTTGTCCCAAATTTGGCACATAACACATTATAAATATTGTTTCCAATAGAAACACGTATTGAAAAATGTTTTTACCAAGAACATATGATTATTATCATAACACTTCTAAAAGTGAATTTATTAGACATACATTGTATAAAGTGTTTAAACCAGGAACATGTATAAAATAAGCTTATTATCACAACACTTTTACAAGTAATTATTCTAAACATATATTTTGTAAAGTATTTCCACCCGGAACATGTATAGACACAAATTGTGTAAAGGTTTCCACCAGAAATATGTATTGAAAAGTTGTTTACCATCGCAACACTCTGAAAAGTAAAACACAAACTGAATATATTGACAATTTAAAATGTGTTTACACTGAAAAAAAATCATTAACATTATCATTTTTGAAAACAAATGTATCAAATGATGTGTTTCATGATGAAGCACTTTGCACTATTGTACAGTGTTTCCACAAGAAATATGCTTAAAAAAGTGTTTAACATCGCAGCGCTTTGAAAAATACTTGCACGCAAAACACAAATTGAATTTTGACAAACGATTGTAACAGATTTTATTTTAAGCATGAACAAGCACTTTGCACTATTGTACTACAATCTTTATCTTATCATCTCATCTATCCTCCAGATGCCAAGTGGCACATAGGGCCTCCACCGAACGTCTCCATTCTGTCCTATCAGCTGCTGCAACTCTGGCTTCCCCCATGACTTCCATCCAGCCTTGTTTCTTTCCTTCTCTACAGTGCGTCGCCAAGTTTCCTTTTCCCTTCTGGTGCCCATGTCAATGCTGTGTTACAGATGCTTGTGGGTTCCTCCCTTAAGGTGTGCCCAATAAATTTCCATCTCCTCTTCATTACTGTAGTGCTCAATTTCTCCATCCCAGTCCTGGTTAGCAGTTCATCATTCCTAACATGGTCTTGCCATTTTATCTTCATTATCCTCCTTAAACGCTTTGTTTGAAAAGTATTGAGTTTTCTTTCGTCGCCTTTTGTCATCTTCCAGGTTTCAGATCCATATAACAGCACTGACAACACCAATGATTTGTACAACTTGAGTTTTGTTGCTCTCTTGATTTTGTTACTGTTCCATATTTTATTAAGCCGCCTGA